TCCGCTGTCCTGTAGCACCATAATTTCCTAGAGCAGGGATCAGGCCTTAATCTTCCTCTGTGGCCCTGAGTTGGCATTATTTGAATGAATGAACAGAGCCAATGTGACCTCAATGAGTCAAGCCATTTAGGAGGAAGAGAGTCGGGCCCTACAGAGTTTCTTCCTGGGAAAACCAGGGCCCAGCGTGGACTGACGAGTCTGCTGACTCACTGTTAGGGCATTGGTCACTGCTCACCTCTGGCCAAGGGGCCCTTGGCTGTGACTCAGCCTCAGGGGGAGAGGAAGAGAATCACTACTGAAAGTTCGGAGGGCTCTGGTCAGCCCGGACCAACATCCTCCTTGTCCTCATCTCAGCTGACTTGGGGTGGGAAGGGGCCTCGGCAGCCCCACCGCCCGGCAGGCGCGGAGGCCAGAGGGGCTGTGGCCATGGGCACCTGGCTCATAGCCCACAAGACTCCGCCAGGAATGACATGTTTAGGAACGTGCTGTGGGCACACGTGTGTGTCTGGGCAGCAGAACCACGCTTCATTGGCCAATGCGCATTCCTAGGCACCCAGAGTCAGGAAGACCTGGTTCATGTCTCACATCCAAAACGTATTAGCTGCTTGGCTCTGGGCAAGTCACTTCAGTTCTCTGTGCCTCCGTTTCCTCACCTGTAAAATGGAGATAAGACCACCGGTGGTCCTTCCACCTCCTAAGACAATGGAGACCAGTGCCAAGAATGAAGCTCGCAGCTGGCTCCTGCCTCCGCCATGAGAGTGGGAAGAGCTCAAGAAGAACCGACCTCCGCTGGCTCGGGGCCTCAGCTAGGACCCTCTCCTTGATGGCCCCAAAACATGCCACCCCGCCCCCAGTCTGGGGGTCTCATCTTCCCACTTGAAGGCGAGGACCAGCTTGCTTGGGTATCTCTATCCCCAGTGGTTGGCCCAGTGACGGGCACACATGAGGCACTTAATAAATGCTTGTTTGCCCCCTCACTGGGCCTCATCTTGCCCAATGCCCTTGTGTGCACAGAGGAGGAAACTGAGAACCAGAAGGGTAAGGACTGAGCCAGGGTCATGCAGGTAGTAAGTAAGTGGTAGAACCAGGTCCGTGGGCACCGATCCAGGGCTTCACCCTCAGAATGGCTCCCTTCTATTTTATTGCCAGCTGTGATTGACCAGAATGATGGCACTCAGACGATCTATGGGATCTGGACCATTGGACTCACAGAGCCTCAGATACTTTGTAGCGCATGACTCTGGGAAAGTCACCTACTCTCCCTGGGCTTGTTTCCCTCCTTTGTGAAATCAAGGAACCAGAAGAGAGGCTCTGGGCTCTAAGTCTGTGCCTCTGACCCGGATTCTTCCCAGACTTGACTGCTGACTTGGGCAGGGCCTTCTCTGCCCAGATGACCTCGGGCCCCTCTAAGCCCAGAGGGCCCATGACACCAGAATCGTGAATCCAGGCAGATGTGGAGGGCACACGGATGACTGTGCCCAAGCCCTTCCGTGGGGTGGCCTGGCCAGGGCCGGTCAGTGCCCAAAGAGTCAAGCCATCTCTGGAGACTGGCCGGCAGCAATGGGGGCAGGGCACAACAGAGCTGAGAGGGCTGTGGGCACCTGCACCCACATTGGGTCAGCTCCTTCTAGAACACTGGAAACCACGGGGAAAGACCCAAAATGTCCAGTCCCTTTCTCCAGCTGCCCCTCCCAGGCATCCTCAGGTAGCACTAGGAATCCTCTGGCCCACACTCACACCATACACTCACCACGGCCACGGGCTGGGGATTTTCACTGCCTCACATCTCTTTGTGTCAGAAGGGCCTTCCCCGACCTCTCAGGCAGTACAGGTCCCATCTCTGTGTTTCACCCACAGGGGCCTTTATGCACATCCTGCAGAGAATTCCTCAGCGGGCTGAAAATAGTCCCTCCATTACTGGGGTTACCCTGGCTTGAGACAGGCTCCACAGCGCCTGAGGGGGCCAAGGGGCAGCATGTCTGGGAAGAGCAGCCCCTTTGTCTGTCTCACTCCCTGCAATCTTCAAAGGGCCCCCTCCTCCACTGAGGAGACCCTGCCACTAACCCCAAGTCAAGGGGTGGCAGCTTCTGTCTGCTAGCAGGCGCCATCTTTGCACACAACCTGGGATACTTTCCCTATGATCTCATCCGTCCTGGCTAGTCCTCCCACCAGCGACCCAGCTCACAGCCTAGCGACGTCTGCTATCTGAGGGCGACTGGACTGCGTGCCAACGAGCCAGGCTGTGCTTATCCTGTCTGCCACCTCCTCCATGCGGTCTGCCCTGATTATCCCCTCCCCAAGGGCCCAAGGAATGATGTTTTCTTCCAGTGGAGCCCCAAAGCACTAGGCCTGTTCCTCTCCTACACGTTTATCATGGATCATTGAGACATGTGGGTGGGGGTGTGTGACATATCACCCCCATCCGTGTCCCGCTCCCGGGCCAGCACCACAATCCACAGAGTCCAGGCGCAGAGTCTAAGACCACAGAATAGGACCAGGGCTGGGGCACTCGGCATCTGGCACAAGCCAGCCAGAGAATCCCCCCAAATTCATGAGACCCTAAGATGGGCTGCAAGAGCCTGCTTTGTGCCCCCCAAACCCCCCTCAACAGAAATCAAGGTGCCAGAAGGTCCCTGGGCCATCATCAGAGGAAGCAAGGTGGGCCTGGGGGCAAGATCCCCACTTAGCAGGGAGGGGGCCATTATGTTTAATGGGCCAGGTAACCCAACCCCCAACATTAACCAGGCCGAATCACAAGCGGCCCACTCCCCCGAGGGCGAATGGAATTTAGAGGAGACTCTCGGAGCAGATTGGCTTGGCCGAAGGGCACGAGGCAGCTCCACTCCAATGTGGGCATGCCCCCCCCCCCCGCAGGGCTGGGTTGGCTGCCCGTTTGGGGCCTCTGGCTCATTAAAGCTCGGCTCCCCATGGGGGACTGTGTGCAGGGGCTGCTGGAGGGCAGAGCCGTCCCTCCCCTTGGGGTTAGGGCTGGAAAATGAGGCTGGCTAGCACCAGAGCCAGTGACATGCCCCGACATCCCCCTCGGCTCCGGGCTCGCCTGCGTCCCCCACTAACTCCGTCTAAGCCTCTTGCCTAGGAATCGTGACACTTTTACCCTCGGGGATCCGGTCTTTCAGAGTTTGAAAGAATTGTCCCAGAATCTCAGGGTCCAGGGAGGGACCCTGAACGAGAGTGCCCCGACAGTGCGCCCAAGCGGCCAGCCAGACTCTGGCTGCAGACCCCGAGGGCAACGGAGGAATCCAGAGCGGGTCACAGGTGGAGGAAGCCCCGGGGCAGTGCTTGAGGAGAGCAAGTCTGAGCCCCTGACTACCTCCCTGAAACCAAAGCCTTCTCTGGAGGGGAAAAGAAACTTCCCCAGCCCTAGCCTGAAAATTTGGCCTTGCCAGACTCAAGGAGGCCGGGCTTTGCAATCCGAAAGCAGAGAGAAAGTAGGTCCGGGGCCTGAGAAATCTCAGTGCTGCAGCCGGCTGGCCTCACCTCAGGATGGCCACAGCTGGGGGCCAACGCCCAGGGCAAATCAGCCGGTCTTGATGCCTCAGGAAAGGGGCGAGGTGCTAAACCCACGAGTGCTCCAGCCCCTCCTCGCCCCCCCCCACGTCGTGAGCCGCGCACCGCCCCCTCCAGTCCTGTGCTCACAGCCCTCCCTGCCACATTCTCCGGCCTCACTGGTCAACAGCCGGACCCTACAAAGGGGTGGGGGTGGGAGGGAGGCCAAGGGGAACCACCCTGGGATTCTTCCTAAACAACCTCAGCGAAGCAGGACAAAGTCTGCTAACGGCAAGGGCAGGGGTGGCCACCGGGAGCAGGGATGGCCTCTGCCCACCAGAAGGGCGCTTTTAAATGGGCTCCCGGAACAGGAGCAGGATTTCTTGGAGAGTAGACTGTGCTCAGGAGAGTGGAAGGCAGGGAAAATTAAAGTAACCTCGGCTCCCTCCTGCCCTCTGCCTCTTTACACGCATGCACACACGTGTGCCACATGCATACGCATGCACATGTGTGCAGGCACACACACACGGGCCAGTTATAGAGCTCAAGGCTATTGACCCAGTGACCCCATTAACAAAAAAAGCTTTGGGGAGGGAAGCCCGGACAGGAAACAGGGAGCCCTGAGAGCAGGGCAAGGACAAAGGACATCTGTCTGAAGGCCAGTCTTTCTGAAGCTTTAGGGACCAAGGTCACCCAGACCGAGGGGGGAAGCGGGACCCTAGAATCTTCTTCCTCTTCTTGTGTCCCCAACCCAGATCAAGAGGAAGACTGAGGCTTGGCCCCTGCCAGAGACTCCGCCCTCCCTTGGCACCATCTCCCCATCTGGGTGCACGGGGCTTGCTCTGAGACGGGCATGGTCCCGAGGCCTTTGTGGGCTGACTGAAGGGAAAGCGGCACTCCAGGGGCTTCTGGGCTATGCCTCACCCAGGCGTAGAGAGCGCTGGCCGTGGGCTGGCACTCGCACATCACCTTGGGGGCAAAGGGAGGAGGCGGAAATGGCGGGGACCCAAGACTTGCTCCCAACTCCAGCCTGAGGATGCGCAGGGTGTGTGGGGTTGCATGGGAGCTGCATCCCTGGGCCTCAGAAGTGGGAGAGGCCTAAGCAACTCCCCCCATCTCACAGATGAGGAGACTGAGCCCCAAAGACAGGCACTAGACCAAGCCACAGGTGATAAGCAGCAGAGGAGAGATTTGAACCTAGGGCTTCTGACTCAAGAGCCAGGGCTCTGAGGCCCAGAGAGGGAGAAGCAGAATCTGGGAGGCTCCCTCCCGATTCCCTGCGCTCTCCTTCCTTTAAGAAGTGGAGCAAGCCCAAAGACAGAGGAGTCAATGGAGAGCCCGCCGGCCCTTGTGGTCCAGCTCCTGGGCCCGCTGGCACCTGGGCACCTTGACAGACACCAGGCTCCCTCCACTTTTGCCCTCTGCTCACCTGGCACGCAGACAGAGACAAGGGTGGCAGGAGAGGAGGCGGCCCCGGTGGGCCATGACATTACCTGCAGTCACGTCTATAAACACACAGGCCTGCTGGGCATCCCCCCTGGGCTGGGAGTGAGGAGCAGGGCACGGGCAGCCGGCCCTTGTGCAGCTGGCTCCAGCACAGGTCTCGAAGGCCCTCACAGAACTCCCGGCATGGTGGCGGCGACAACAAGGGATTGGAGGTGCTACACTGGGGCACGAGCAGCAAGCAGAAGAAGGCTTCAAGGAAGCGGTGGCACCGTGTGCGCAGCAGCCCCTCCCACTCTTGCAGGGCCGCCCACACCTGCTTGGCACTGTCATGGTGGGCGTAGTTGGGCAGCCAGAAGCGCTCGGTGCCGGGGTGGCTGCAGAAGGGTAGATTGGCTGGCAGCGGCACGCAGTGCCCCTGGGCCGAAGCCAGTCTTGGCAGGGAGGAGGGCACCCCGTCCTGGTGGCCAGGGCGAGAGAGATGCCCAGAAGCAGGTAGCAAATCAGACCCCCAAGACCCAGGGGCATTGATGCTAGCAGAGCCCACCAGAGTAAGGGCATCAGAAACAGAACCATCACTGTGCCCAGTGAGATTGGCCACCAGCAGCCCCAGTTGCCCGCTGTTGTCATGGTGGTAGCCACGACGGGCACCACCTTCACCCGAGGCCCCACTGATTGGACACTGAGCCAGAAAGCCCGTCACCCAAAGCACCCGCCACCAGAAGAGAAAGCAGCCAGGACCCAGAGCTGTGGTTAGTGGGCATTTTTGGACGGTCCCTCAAGGCGAGGATGGGCAGGAGTCCTTCTCTTTCTAGGGAAGCTTGGCTGTCAGCCACCTGCCTGTTCAGGTCAGAGGGGTCCAGGCTGCCCCGGGCTCCAGGCCGTTGAGAAGCCTCAGGGGCTGCAGGAGGGAGGTCCCCCAGGAAGAGAGGAAAAGACAGGCTACCTGGGGGGAGGGGCTGAGGGCCACCCCAAGGGCAGTGCTGGGGACCTGTTTCCCAGAGGAGAGGTAGCCGCTGTCAGGTGGACGGCGTCTGTCCAGCCAGCCGGAGTCGGGGCACCTGTGCTCCCCTTCCCAGCATCTCTCAGCTCCATCCCAGGTCCAGACGCAGAGGGCAGTGGGGGAAGGGTGGCAGGGGGGTCAGCAGCCACTGCCTCACCCTTGGAAGAGCTCTCGCCATTGCTCTTCTCGTCCCAAAATTGAACCAAGCTGCGGATGCCCTGGGCCACGTTCAGGATCTTGGCGCCCACACCGGCAATGTTTTCTTCCTTGAGGTCTGTCCTGGCAGGGGGTGCCCGCAAAGGGGTCACAGCACCTGTGGCCTCTGAGGCCTCAGGGTCCGGCTGAGTCCACAGCCCAGATGCCGGCTGCTCCTCTGGGATAGGCCTGAGGATGCCTGTCTGGGCGGCCAGGGTGGCACTGGGCACCGTGGGCCCCGCAAAGGGGGTACTCTTGACCTGAGGCCCTGAGGTCGGGAGGAGAGGTCCTACTGTGGCTTCTGTCTCCTTAAGTGTCCACCAGTTAAAAAACTGAGCCCTGGAGAGGGGACAGTGAGCAACCAGCAGGAGGAGGAGAGCCAGGCTGCTCTGGAGAGGCGCCATCAGAAGGAGAAGAGGCCAGGGGGGCTGTGCAGACCTCCGACGTTTTTAAGGCTGCAGCCGCTCCACCATTCCTCGCTGGCAGCCAGTCTGTGTGCTCTGGCTCTGAGGAGCTCACAGCACCCTTCCCAGCTGGCAGCCAACCCAGGAGGGGTGTGGCCTGTCCAATCCCAGGCCAACCCTCCCACAGCCTCCCCCATTCATTCCCTGCCTCCTCCTAGTGCCCCGCCCCACCCACAAGCACAGATAATAGTGTCCCAGGCTCTCAGGAGAGGACCAGCCTCCCTGAGTTGGGGGGTGGGGCATTGATAAACATACCTGGAGTGCATTTTTCCTCCCTTAATTCTCAGATTAAAGCCATTCCTTGGTGGCGGGGAAGGGGGACAAACCGCAGAACATCTCTAAGCCTCTGCAGTCAGCTCTCTGGGCTGCCTGGGGTTCTGGAAGGGCTCTGTGCAGAGACCCAGCCCGAGCCCAGGCCCCACTCAGCCACCATTAACTCCTTCCTAACTACAAGGGAGGGAGGTGATGAAGAAACTTCAGCTCTAGGGCAGTGGACAGTGAGGGAGCCAGGGACAATTCATTCAGTCTCACCCCAGAAGGAAGTGTGCTTCCTGGGGCCAGGCAGCAGGAGAGCCGTCAGGACGGAAAGCCCCTGCCCCAAGAGGGCTCAGGGGAGAGAAAGTGGAGGAAAAGCCAGCCAGGGCAGCCCTGACTCTTGGGGGCTGAGCAGATGGGGTGAGGCGGTGCAAGCAAATGGCCCTGCATCTATCTGCAGGTCCACAAAGCTTGTCATTAACTGGGCTGGTGGCGGGGCTCCCGCATCACCAAACCCCACACACCCACAGCCAGTGGCACTTCCAGAGTGCGCCAAGCAAAGGAGCGCTCCCCGGATGATTAACACAACTCCAACGGGAAGGAAGCCTCCTCTTAATGAGGAGAGGAGAGGAGAGGGAGGAAGGAGAGGAGAGGAGAGGAGAGGAGAGGAGAGGAGAGGAGAGGAGAGGAGAGGAGAGAGAGAGAGAGAGGAGAGGAGAGGAGAGGAGACAGAGACAGAGTAGAGAGAGAAGGAGAGACAGAGAGAGACAGAAAGGGAGGGGGAGAGAGAGAGAGAGAGAGAGAGTGAGAGAGAGAGAGAGAGAGAGAGAGAGAGAGAGAGAGTGTAGAGAGAGGAGTAAGAGAGACAGAGAGAAACAAAAGAGGAGAGTAGAGGAGAAAGAGACAGAGAGACAGTGAGAGACAGAGAGAGAGAGAGACAGAGAGAGAGAAAGAGAGAGAGAGAGAGAGAGAGAGAGAGAGAGAGAGAGAGAGAGAGAGAGAGAGAGAGAGAGAGAGAGAGAGAGAGAGAGAGAGAGCACAAGTGCGGAGAGAACTCAATCACCAAGCCTGCTGGTTTACCCTTCCATTCCCACCACCATGGGCTGGGCAAGGATGGGCCCATCTAACCCAACTCAGCTGGACACTTTGGCAAGAGGACCAGAGAGGGCAGGAGTGAGGGACCCAGGGCAGAGTCCTAATGTTGTGACCTTGAGCAAGGCCCAGACTCTCCTCCCCTCACTGCCCAAATCTATAAAACTGGGATGAGTTCAACCCTGCCTTCCCCAAAGGGTTATTGGGAGAATATAGGCAGGAAAATAAAAGCATCACATGTGCGTTAGAAACCAGGATAGAGAGGGACAAGACAGAGAGAGTCAGAGAGAGACAGACAGACGCTGACTCCTCCTAAGATTTACACAAACAAAGCCCTGTGGCCTGTGTAATGCCGTCTGTTGGGCTTCACAAGCGGCTCTTAACTTACAGCACATCTGAGTTGTTTTTCCCAAGGTCTATCCTGGTTCATCCCCACACTCGTGTCTGGGCCCCTTTTCATAGATCACTTATAGAAGCCTACATTCACAGCAGATGTCACCTAGAAGCCATCCTGAACCAAGAATCCCCTCTAAATCCTCGTGCCCCAAAAGAAAGTCAATCTCAGCCTCCAGCAGTGACAGGGAACTCACTACTCCTGAGGAAGCCAGGTACATGTTTGGGCAGTGCTAACAATAAAACTGGGCTCTCTCTCATTCCCATCCATTGCTCCTGCTCCCTCCCCTGGGACCAAGCAGAATCCAAATAAATGTCCTTGTGGAAGTGGCCAGGGGCTCCAGGACGCGGGACACCTCAGTCAAGGGTGAACTCTGTGGCCACAGAAGATAACAAAGCTCATGGGGAGGGCCGGGGCCACTTTCGAACTGGCAAGACAACCTTCCTTCACCACTAGCAAATGATGCTCTTTTAAATGAAAGTATGCAGTGTTGACCTGGGTTATTTCACTGGATCCTCCCAACAACCCTAGGAGGCGGGTGGCATGATGATCTCCCCTTAGGAGGGAGGAAACTGAAGCAGGCAGAGGTTATGCGACTTGCCCAGGGTCACATAGCTAGGAGTAAATGTCTAAAGTTGCATTTGAACTCAGGTTTTCCTGATGCAAAGTCTGCTGAGCCACCTCACAATGGCCCTGGCATTACAGAACAGGGAAAGGTGGGCCTTCTGCCTCTCTTCCCTCTCCCACGCTGCCACGTACACACACTCTGCATCATGAGTGACACCACAAGCATTTCCGATGGCTCTCAACCTGCCCAGACTCTTCCACATCCACTACCTTAGGTTGCATGAAGAGAGATGGGGACGGTCCTGCTGTCCTCTGCCTGGATGGACCCGCCTGCATCACGAGCTCCGCTCTGGATGCCACACTTAAAGCAGGATGTGGACAACCTGGGAGTACCCACAAGACGACAGAGACCAGGATGTCTTCCAGTCACATCACAGGAGGCCTACTTAAAGGAACCATGGCAGCCCAGGGGTCAACCTGGACTCCTCACTCTCTTTTCACCACCCCCCATCCAAGCTGTGCCAAGGCCTGTCACTCTCGCCTCCACGACATCCCTGATCACTCTCGCCTCCGCGACATCCCTGGTCACTCTCGCCTCCGCGACATCCCTGGTCACTCTCGCCTCCATAGCCTCCTTCATCGATCAAGCCTGGTGGTGCCTCTCCAGATTTCACCTCACTACTCTCTGTCCAAGTAGCTCCCCTCCTGTCCTCTGACACTGCCCCTACACTGGTGCAAGCCCTTATCACTTCACACCCAGACTATGGTGATCGCTGCTGAGGGACCGACTTCCTCATCTCTCCACTTCAGGTCATCCTCCATTTATATTTTCCTAAAGCTTAGGTCAAATCATGTCACACACACACGCTCTCTCAATAAACCCTGGCGGCTCTCTATTGCCTCTAAGACAAGCCACAGACTCCTCCAAACGCTTCACTATCTGACTCCAACCCAGCTCAGCAGACTTATCTCCCGTCACACCGCTCTGGGAAGCCAAAGCAGTTGACATGTCCTCTGAACTCGGCATTTGGGGTCCACCTCCAGGCCTGTTCCCTTGGAATGCAAGACCGTCATCTATGCATCCTCCCTTCTGATTTCACCTCCATGATTAATGTCTTCTCTTCAAGTTATTTTGTACTTCCTGACTCATCTTCTCTTGGGTTGGATCCGATGGCTTGCTTCTAAGACATTCTAAATTCTAAAACTGGCTGATTCTAGGGAATATCCCCTCTGGAAGAATGTGGGCTTCCTGAGGGCAGGGACTATTTTTCCTTTTGTCTTTGTGTCTTCTGTGTTCAGTCAGCCCTTAAGGAACTGTCATTGGAGGGGGACTGGAGATGCTAAACAGCCAGCAGAAGGAAAGGCTCTGGGGCAACAGGAATGTCCTTCCCGGCTCCATTCCCTCCCAGGTTTTGTATGTCCCCAAAGGGTCATCACCTGCCCTCTCCCAGGCTGGATCCAGGAGCAGCCACACGTGAAAGAGCTAACCACCTAATGGCCAAGGCTACCCCAGAAAGTCATTCATTAATCAAGCTGCTTTTGGAGTGACTTTGTTACCCAAGAACTTTCTCAGGGAGAGTTAACCAAATTACTTCGTTATGAGGCTTTGGCCACTGGCAGCTGGACAGGCTCCCTCCCTCCCTCCCTCCCTCCTCCCCTGCTGGGGAGCAGCCAGATGCAAACATCTGTTCTTCAGCAGCCTCGCTGTCAAGATTAATCCCCTAATGCAGAGGATTAATCCTAAACAAATTATCAGAGAATAGTGTCCTTTTGTTTGAAAATCCCCACAGTCTCAAATGCTGGCTTATGCCAGGCTCTTCATCCCTCCCTTCCTCATTCCCTAGCTCAGAGTCCGCAGGGTCTGAATCCAAGTTACAGGGTGGAGACAGAGGCGAGACCCCCGAAGCCTGAAATGCCTGGTG